TTTTACCTCTCCAAAAAAAGGAAATCTGGTTTTTCATTGTGTTTAATTGATCTAAGTGCCATTTTACTGCATTGAACTACTTCTACTAGAAAAATCAAAATAAACCTAGGTTCCATTAAGGCCAAGTACATGTTTACATGACAGAAGAAGGGTCTGGGTATATTTTACCCACCATGATGCTCAGGTAAACATATACAAAACCTGTTAGCCAGAGCATGAATGTGGGTAAAAATCCTGGTTGACCCTTTTGGATGCATGCATGCACCTTGCTGTTTGGCAGGCGATTGCTTGCTAAACACAGAGATTGCTTCCTGTACCCCCCCAGCTGCTATTATGCTAAAGTACACATAGTGGAAAAGTATAGACTGGGAGCTGAGCAGCAGCCACAGTCCGTGGGCCCTGTGCTTGTGATCTGTGCTGGCCACCAGGATGTGTGCAGACAGGTGGCTGATCTTCTCTAGCCGGCCCACTTGGCTTTGGCTTTTGGTTGTAATGTCTGTATTTTTGTTGCTTTTAATTAAGAAATTGTATTAAGATCACTTTTGGATTGCAGGAGAGTTAGGCACAGAGGACAGAGTCTCCAGCCCCCTCCTGCCCCTGCTACTCCAGCAGTAATAGCACCTTATTGTGGCTATTTGTCACAACTGCTGAAGCAGCACTGATATGTTACTGCTAATTTATGCCTGAGGCTTAAAGCAAGGTTCTCTGCATTGTGCATCCTCTTGGTTTTGACAAATGGACAGTTCTGCCTTGATTTACAATAGGGTTGCATCCCAATAAGTCCATAGAGAGTTGAAAAGATGGTAAAGTAGAAAGATGCATTTAAGCCAGGTGTGGTGATGTGTGCCGAGGACTGCCAGCTCAAGCCCAGCCAGGACAATGTAGCAACTTAGTGGGACCCTGTCTTAGTTATTTTTTATTCGTTGCTGGGACAAATACCCAACACACTAAATGAAGGAAGGAAAGGTTTATTTAGCTCACAGTTACTGGAGGGTTCAGTCCATATTCTGCTAGCTCCAATGAAAACAACAGCAGTTCATGCAGCAGAAAACAATGACGAGCAGAGGAGGAGCAGCAGCTGCAGCGGCGTCCATCAAGCCTCTCTCTTCCTTCTGCGCTGACTGTGAAAATCAGCGCTCCACAGTGAAGTTCAGAGCTCCTCCAAAGTGGCCCCACCGCGAAGACCAAGCTTCTTAGAAGACTGACACTTCTCCAGGGAAGCACGGCGGGTGGCAGGAAACCAGGCAGGGCAGCTTCCTGCCCACCTGCAGGGTGAGACCCCTATGCTGAGAACTGCCGGAGCTGATTCAGCCAAGTTGACACAATGTATCAACCAACACAGACCCTATCTCAGAATATAGAAAGGGCAGAGAAAAACTCAGTGTAAAGGTCCTGAGTTCAGTCCCCAGGACTCCCCGCCCCCAGTGCATTTAATATATCTCTCATTCAGAACATCATTGCTTTGTTCCATGTGTCAGTTACTTTTCTGTCATTGCTGGGACAAAATTCCAACACCCAAAATGAAGGAAGGAAAGTTTATTTAGCTCACAGTTAGTGGAGGTTTCAGTCCATACTCGGCTAGCTTCAAGGCAGAGAGGCGCATGGCAGAGGGCAGCCATTCATGATGGTGGAAAGCAACAAAGAGCAAAGGGAGGGGCAGCAGCTGCAGCTTCTAGCAAGCCTCTCTCGCCTCTTCACATTGTACTGCAGACTACCTACCCCAGGGCAGGAATAGCACTCGCTATAGCACCCGTATTCCCAGCATTGGATCATGAATTAATCACAAGCTCTAGAAGCTGCCCCAGGACTGCATGAGGCTTTGGGGGGGACGCCTAGACATTCCACTTGCCTTAAATGAGTTCAGGACACTGACACTTTACCTACAGATGGACAAATTCATCCAATGAAAAAAGTCTATTTGGTGATAAAGTATTGACTGTGCCGTGTAAGTTATCAAATACCTGTGTCCAGAGCCTGCTAGCAACATGTCTGATGGAAGGCAACCAGTTTAAGTTGGAGTAGTCTGTAGGACGACATACATCACAGCACTGTATCAGACAGAATATCTCACCGGCCCCAACATCTTCTCTGTGTGACCATTTAATGTTAGCTTCTGCCTGCTACATGGCAGCAGCATCGGTGGTACATGTTGGTGGGAGGAGATTATTCTACATGAGTTAGGATGTATCAGGCTTAGCTGGAAAATGGGAGAATGTTCTCACCCTAATGGCCTTGTAGATTTTGTTAGGTAGAACATTTTTATGAGGAAGAAAGGGGGTTGCTGGGCTCACAAACAGAAGGGCCACGAGCACAGAGGCACCTGGCCACTCGATGTGATCTCCATTCAGGTGTTTGCTCTTGAAAGACTCCTGTGATGACAGATGACTTCCAAAAGCTTTGCCTTCTCCCCGCCCCAAGTAATCTTTTGAATGGACACTATGCAAATTGCACATCAGTCTTCTTTTAATTAGAGAATGAGATTAGCGAGTTTTTGGCTCACACTTTGATGCTATGCGAAGACCACCAGGTATCACCATGTTTAGAATAAGAGTATCTCGGCCAATTTAAGGCTGAGGCAGGAATATCCCAAGTTCAGGCTCTGCTTGGGTGATTTCAAAAGGTGTGTCTCACAAAAGAGCTGGCACTTTTTTCTGGGCTCACAACAGGGGTGTGTGTGTGTGTGTGTGTGTGTGTGTGTGTAGCTTTTAGAAACTACAATACTAGAGAAAGAAAAAAGGACAACTTTCCTGGGGGCCACTTTGCAAAGTAAAGCTGATTCGGGATTGGGTGGGGGAAAGCAAAACTATGTGATCCGTCCATCTGCTCTGCCTGTCCATCCTTCCCTCCCATTGCCTGGCAACCACTGCTGCTCTCCTGCCTCCTGGTTTTGCCCTTCCCAGACCTCTGCTGGCTGGAGTCACGCAGTGAGGCTCTCTGTGGAGCAGCTTGTGCAGAGCGATGTCAACCGAGTCCAGGTCCTCTGTGGCTGCTTCTGAGTAGCTGGCTTCCTGCAGTCGAGTTGCCCTCCCTCGGGTGGCTCCCGTGCTTCTCATTTCTGGAGGCCTCGCACCCAGCACGGACTCTGCCCAGGGGGGCAGGCATCCTTTCTCCACTTTCCTCTCTCCTGCTCTTTATTACTTCTGCTGGTCAGTATTGGTCAAGGAGGGGCCCAGCTGAGGACGACTTGGGGGGAGAAGCCAAAGGGTGCTCCCAAGAGGAACTGGGTTCTTCTGGAAATGGTAAAGGGCTGGGAATTCTCAGACCCCATCCCAGGTCAGGCCTCCTGCATTCCAAGGGCCCCCATGACAGGGGCACAGCCGGTGCCAGTGCTCACCCCACTGATCCCTGAGCCCCGTTCCACTGTCTGTCCCTGAGAGGGCTGACAGCACGGTGCATCTGTCTCAGAGACTTTTTACTCGTTGCTGAGACAAAATACCTGACACTCAAAATGAAGGAAGGAAAGGCTTATTTAGTGCAGTCTGTGGAGGCTTCAGTCTATACTCCCTGACTCCGGGGAAGACTGGCACATGGCAGAGAGCAGCAGTTCATGGCAGCAGAAAAAGCAAAGAGCAAAGGGAAGGGCAGCAGTGTGGCTTCTAGCAAGCCTCCTTATATTGTAAACAAACTACTGGGGGGCAGGAAGTATAGAACTCACAGTGTCCATGCCCTCCTCTTGCACAGGATGAGGATGTTTACAAACTAAAAATCCTAGCTGGGCTGAGTCACTTAATTAAACTTCTAAATTTCTCAAGTTGGCACAATGTATCAACCAGTACAGCATCCCTATAGCCTGGAGCCAGGTCCTCAAGAGGGACCCTCATATAACTGTCCCAGCGGGAGGAGGAGGGGGTCACCTGGGCTCCCCGAGACCACGCAAAAGTTTTCCATGGACTTCCATGGCTGAGTGTGGTAGCGCCCATCTATAATCTCAGCACTAGGGAGGCTGAGGCAGGACTGCTTTGAGTCAAGACTGGCCTGGACTACAAAGTGAGGCACTGGCCCAAGACACACACACACACACACACACACACACACACACACACACACACACACCACACACACACACACACACACCCGGTTGAACCCAGAGTCTTTTTGCCGATTTAAAGTTCCCATCCTTTAAAAAAAAAAATTGAGATAAGGTCTCACTAAATCACTAGGTTGTCCAGGCTGGACACAAACTTGAAATCTTCCTGCCTCAGCTTCGTAAGTGCTGGAGTCATGTTCAGCAGCTCTAGGATGTTTCCTTCGCTGAAGGCTGTGTATCTTTAACAGTCACCAGACAACACAGAAGTCAGGTCTTTTCACACTTGCCTCCACTGGGGGTCTCAGGGGCTGCCAGAGGAGTCCGGGTCCTGAGGCTCTTGGGCTGCAGTGCCTGACAACACATCTAGTCTAACTGTTGGCTCCTCAAAGGTGTGCTTTCCGGGCTGGTTACAGTAAGTCTTTCCCTGGGTGGGGGTGCTGGTCCCTCTGAACCCTCCGCGTTTTACCTGCAGGCCACCCCAAACCCTGGAGCTCAGGCTACATTTTTACCAGTATTTCTGGAGTAGCAGGAGGTAGCAAAGCTATTCAGGGCCCACTAGCCAGGAACAGTGACTCAGCCTGTGGGACACTGCGACTTGCTGAAGCAGTATCTTTGGCCAGAGGATTGGGCAAATTTTCACACAATCTCCTTCTCATTTTTCTAAAAAGGAAAAACTGGCTTTCCAGAGACGTGTCTGAGGTCACCATGTCAGTAAGATAAAGAAGAAACTGAATTCCCAAATGCTGGCACCCGACATACTGCTTCAAATGCACACAGCTTAGTGGAGAGCAACTCGGAGAGGTGCTCATTACCCCTCCAACACCTTGCCCACTTTTTGGGACCCGGCCACACCTCCTGAGCTGCCCAGGCTGACCTTGGACTTGTGGCCCTGTTTCAGCCTCTGGAGCAGGCGAGATTACTGCATGCACCACTCCACTGCACTTCAAGGAATTTTTTGACTAACTGATCAGGGAGTTTTAGAGTGGACAGAAGGGGAACGATTGTTGGCGGAAAGTTGGGTAGCTCCTTTTCCAGGTGTGTACAGTGGTACACAAACTCCCCCATTACATTACCTCTCTGAAGCACAGGTTAGGATTTAGCTGCAAGGGTCGCCAGTGAGAGTCTACACTTGGCCAGAGCTGGAGAAGCAGAAAGAACAGAGCTGGGGTCCATCTGCTGGAGACACCTGGAAATTCACTAAGGACGCTGCCCAGGGCCACACGGATTCACAGGGAGAATACTGTCTTCCTAAATCCCCCAAGCTCCCCTGGAGGATCCAAGCTACTTAATTTTCTTAGATTTAACAATAAGAAAATACTCCAAATTTGAGAAGAGTTTTAAATTTTATATTTTATTTTAGTGGTACTGGGGGCTTTGCACATGCTAGGCAATGAGCTACACTCAGAGCTGATGGAGGTAATACTAATATGGCCAGAAAACCAAGTATCTATCTAGTTTATCTAATGAGGTGCTTACACTTTAGGTCATGACCTCTCTGCTGCTATTAGGACTTTGGTGAACCTATGGCGCACATGCCGCAGCCGGCTGCTATCACTGAACACTCTGAAAGGTTTGCCATCACCGGCCTACATGAACGCAGGCTACTCTGCCTTATCTCATGGAGGAGGGGGTCTGCAGAGCTCCACAATGCCTTGGAACCACTGCCCCATGAAACCCCTTATTCTCAGGGCTCCTGCTCCACCATCTCCCACCTCCTGGTATGAGTTTCAAGGCAGTAATTCCTTTGGCTGTGGGAGCGACAGTGAACACAGGTGGTGAGACCCACGCCAGCTGACAGGCTTTCGGAACTCATGGACCACTTACCGGCCTGGCAGCGTGGGCAGCCGTCCTCTGCTCAGACCCAACAGGCTGAGATGGGTTCCTCTGGGTGCCCAGGCTTTTTGCTCTTCTGTGCTGGAGACGGAACCCTGGGCTGTGCCCATGCAAGGCCAGCACTTACCACAGGGCTGCACCCTGGGCCCATGTGGCTTCTGAGGCCTCCTGCGCTGCTTTTGGGGCCTGCCTTTTCCTGGGCTGAGCCGCTCAGGCTCCAAGTGTAAGTCTTGCAAAGAGCAGCAGCAAACCTGCGAGCGACCTCCACTCTGCAAAGGGCCTCTTGCCCTGATTCCGCACAGGCAGGCCCTGGGCTGCAGCACATGTTCTTTACGCTGTGCTGCTCCCTCCCGGCCTGTGTCCTCTCTTCTTGTGCAGAGACCTCTGCCACTGGGCCCAGCTCCTCTACTCAGCAGGTCCTGTGTGCAGAGGTTTATGACATGAGCCAGTCGCTGCTGCCTTCCCCCAACGCCGTGTGCCCCACAGGGTGAGGGGCCTGCAAGTGCCGCACTTCTCCACAAGAAAGGCTGCTAGGATAAGAAGCTCACCAGTGCCTTTCCAGTAAGTACCACACAATGAAGCAGGAATTTCACAATAAAAATCAGTGTGGCTTTTGGAGAACAGAAGTTTACATGCGCGCAATACTTGTCCACATACTTCATCCTGGAATCTCAGTGCTGCTACTTTTTATTATAACTTGACAGAAAATGCCCAGAGATACACAATGGAAATTTTAAGCACTTTTACAAAAGTAAAAATATAAAGAAATGAAAACTGTGGATTTGTGTTTTTGAACAATTTTACCTTAAATCCACCTGGTGTTAAAACTTAATGATTTATCAAAATATTCTTAGAATTATAGTGGGAAAAGCTGAAGAAATCCTAATTATTCATATCTTGTGGCAGGTAAGTACTTGAGATAAAATCAGTTTGATCTTCAATTACATACAGTCCCTAAAATTTTATGTGTTCATTAAAACTTTTATTTTGGGGGACAAAGCAGATCTTCTATTTCACGAAAGAGAATGAACACTTATTTAATCTTGAAGACCAACTTTTATAGCTGAAAGCACTTTTAAAGTATTTCTGCTAATCTGAAGCTACTTTTGGCTCTGCTACCTCGTAAGGCATCTTAACAACACTCCACGTGTGATTTAAGGTCATGTTTTGCCTAAGGAATCCTGTTTGTGCATGTTTATACCAAAGCAGTAAGGCGAGAAAGCAGTCCCTTTCCCAAATCAAAAATAGTATCTACCCACTTTAAAATTCAGGGGCTAGAACTACTACAAATTATCTGAGTAGGAAATTAAGGCTCCTGTGATTTTTCTTTCATTTGAACTATAAAGCTAAGACTAATGGTGTTACTGCCTGCGTATGTTGGATTTACAAACGTCTGAGCTTAAGTCACAGGACTTAGGTACAGTTTTGCCATTTCTGTCTCTGCTTACAACACACAGTTTTCACAATCCCCTTTGAAGAGTTTTAAGATAAAGTCGGAAAACACTACACCAAGCTAAAGTACAAGACTGCCATAGAACCCCTGCTCAAGGTGACTGGCAGGTGTTCCAGTGCCTGCAGCCTTCTAGAATCTAGAAAGGCTGGCCACACGGTCAGGACAGCACGAGGGGGTGCTTTCCACACTTCAGAGGACCTGGCGGGCACCAGCTAGGGTCCAGCCTGGGAATGCGGCACCCTCCTTTGAGGCTAGCCCTTCAAGGTATATGAAAGAGAAAGCGCACACACCCAGCCTGCACATTTCCTACAAGCATTTCTAGCATAAAAGGTAACCGCCTCTGCAGTACGAAGCTACCAGGATGAGCACCACGGTTTAGCCTGAGCGAGGTACGGAGCTCTCGGGGCCTTCAGTAGAGACCAGAGTGGCAACCCCGAATGGGTGCCACTGCAGGATTTTTTCTGATCATTAAAGTAAGTTATGTGAAGAACTCTTTGATTTTCAGTATACACAGCCAAGTATATACTGACCCAATTATACAGGTAAGTGTGCAAGCTGACAGCAGGAAACACACAGCAAATGTGGCTCTCACTGCTGAACTTACACTATGCTGTCACTGTTTGAGAAAGTCAAAGATTGGGATGAAGTACACTGAGTCAGTGTCGCAAGGCCCGGGGGTGGAAACGTGAGAGATTCAGTTTTCAGAGCATGGAAGTTTGCCCTGGGTTTCAGGTCAGGTTATTTGTCCCCTCCTTGCTGCATGTTCCAAAAATGGCGACTATCTTCCCCCACCCCCAACCATATTGATTTGTGCAGAATATATACACATCATTTCTATAAAATAATGCAGAGGGAAGAACCTTAAAACTTTGTGAAACTTTTAAAGGCATATAACAGTTTTCAATAAGTAAAAAGAATTTAGTTAAGAGGTATCTGGACAAAAAGGGACAATTCTCAGAGGCTGAAGATGTAGCTCGGTGGTGAGTTTTTCAATTTAGTTTCTAGAGGCTAAGACAATAAAGGATTTAAGGACAACTTTTCAAATTGCTTTTCCCCTTCCTTTAACATTACTTCACTTATAAGAGAAATTAGAAATCTGAGCCACAGCTGGCTTCCTGGAGCATCCCAGACTGGGTTTTTGAAGAATGCAGGATCCCCAGCAGCGTGCAGGGCAGGGCTGGCTTCCCGTCTCTGGCGGAGCAGCCTCAGCACCCGGGAGAAGCTTACTGTGTGACGTGGCCAGGACTCTTCAGAGACACGACGCAGCAGCTGCGCTTCCAGTTGACTTTGCTGAGACTGAGATGGAAGCAGGAACCGCCTCCCTCCACAGCCCACAGAAACATTTTAGGGAAACAGTCTGTGCATTGAACCTAAAAATTCAGCTGAACACTGAGGAGCATTCTTCAGAAAATTCAAGTTGAAAGCCACTCTTCTCATGCGTCCGCTGGCACTGCCGCACCAGCCAGTGACTCCGGGGCTGGGCTGCTCTGCCACACCTAGATGAGGGCCCGCAGCTCTCCGTCCGTGAGCTCATTCACCTCCATGATCTTCTCCAGGTGCTCCATGTACCGCTCGTGGTCCTGCAGGAAGTGCGGGACCCGCATGTTCTCAGTGACCGCCAGTCCTTTCAGGCGGTCCACGTCTTCGTAAGAGACCTGGAAAAGAGGACAACTTAAAAATTAACTACAATTTACACTTAAGATGGATTTCTGCCCTGGGTATTGAAAGGATGTCATCTGGATCATTTTCAAATTACTGCTTTTCTGTTTCATTTTTCTCAGTGTCTCACTATGTACTTCAGGCTGGCTCTGAACTCACTACATGAGCTAGGTTGGCCTCAAACTCATGGCCTCCTCCTGCCTCTACCTCCTGAGTGTCTATGCAAACAGACGAATTTAAGATTAACTGCCAGGCGGTCGGAATACAGACACAAATGTGGACATGTCTGATGTGAATCTCTGTGGTTCAGTAGGCTGCGTGTTGTAGTGCGCATACTTCATGTATGAGCGTGAAATAAAGAAACATCTCCTGAGCTCTGGTGCCTGCGATTTGTCACTGCTTTTGTGCAGGCCATCAGTTTTAGCTGTCATCATTTCTGCTGCCATTGCTGTCTCGTGAGTCTTCAATTAACACCTGATTTTATTGGAAACTGTGTGAAGCCCGGCCCCTGGAAGTCGTGCCTGGGGTGGGGAGCCCATGGGATAGTCACTGTCAGCTGTGCTGGCCGTGACCTACGCAAACAGCAAGTACTTGAACAACCAGAGCTCCATGGCTGGCGCCAATGGTTCTGTAGGAAATGGAGTCACAAGAAATTCAGGTTTGGAGTTGTGACGATGTTCCAGAAGACGATGGCATGACTCTAGCTGAATAAATGTTGATTTCTACATATGAATAAATAAAAAAAAATACAGATTTCATGAAAAAATAAGACATCCTCTGAAAATAAGCTCTTCTGTTTCTTTTGGAACAAAAATAACTAAAGGACCTACTCTTGTGTCTAGGGAAATGTGGCATATCCATAGTGTAATCACTCTTAAGTATTTTATTATTAAAATTATGCAGTCACTAATTACCCCACACCTCTAATGAAAACAGGATTGAGGACACTGGCATGTATTAGTAACCCCAGCCCACTCCAAGCTTATGAGCAGGGAGGGGAACCGCAAGGCTGGGACTGCTGTGCTTCGCAGACCACACCAGTTTTACAGCTGAAGGTGTGTGGCAGCCCTGCACTGAGTGACTTTATCAGTGACATTTGCCAGCAGCACGCATTCACTTCCAGTCTCAGTGCTGCATCTTAGCAACTTCTCCCCATAGGCCAAGCTCTTTGTCTTTCCGGCTTCTGTCCTGGTGACCTGTATGGCTGCTCCCGCCGCTGCACCATCAGGTGGTAAGGTGCGCTCCTGCCTGGCTCAGCATGCACTGCAACAGTGCCTCCTCAGCAGGGGTGCTTGGCACCTGAGTCCTGCTTCCCAAGGTATCACCGAGGAAGTGGCTACGCTCAGTGTTAGACAGGAAATGTGAATGTGAACCCAGGATGTTTAACTTTGCCAGAAAACATGCAGACAGTTTTATGAAATGGTTGCGGCCACAAACAAAGAGTTAAGTGACAGAGTGAGCACCAACATGGGTGCAAAATGCCATATGGCTTTCACACCAAGACACACAACATCACCAGGCAAAAGGTTGAGTGTGAATCACATCATAAGAAAACATTACGATGGGCCAGGAAGATAGCTCAGCAGTCTAAGTGCCTGCCTGGCATGCGCAAGGACCTGGGTTTGAGACCCAGTATCACATGCCATGCTGGCTCTGCACCATGCTGGCCACTAAAACTGGGCATGGTGGCGCCCTCTTGTAATCCCAGTGCTGGTGAGGCTGAGATAGGAGGGATCACTATAAGTCCGAGCTGCACAGGGAGGCCATGTACCAAATCAACCCATCAATCAAATCAATCAATCTAAAAACAGAAAAGAAAACACCATGGTAATCTAGGCTACCAGAATTTTTAAGGCAACTTGTCCTGAACTCTTAAAAATGTCTTTAAAAAGAAGAATAATGGGCAGGGGACTGCTGTAGATTAAAAGAGATAAAAGACTAACCAAAAGCAATGTATGTATTTTGATTGGATCCAGATTCACAAAAAGTACTACAAGAGTGCTATTTTAGAAACAGTTTGAGAAATATGAAGTGGATTATATTTTAAATGTTAGATTGGCCCAGGCATGGGGGTGCACACTTGTAATCCCAGCACTTGAGAGACTGAGGCAGGAGGGCCACCATAAGTTCAAGACCAGCCCAGGCTCATAGTGAGTGTAAGCCACGCTAAACTACACAGCAAGACCCTGCCTCAAAAGAAAAAAAAAAAAAAGTTAGATTCAACCAATGACAAATTTCTTTTAAAAACTATGTGGTCACATCGGAGGATATTTTTGTTCTTGGAGATACTAAGGGAAGTGTTACAGTGTTAGCTTACTTCAAATGCTACAGAATGCGGAGAAAGAGATGCCACTTAAGCAGATAATAAAACTATGCCTATCCCTGAATTTTCTATTCCTTCCTGTTATTCACCACAAAGAAACCACTGAAAGAGCCATGTTTTCTCTTCTGTTACCATGTAAAGGAATCTCACTGCAACGATAAAGGGAGAGCATGGACCTGAGTCTCAGCACAGTGGAGCTGAGCTGCTGAGTGGTGACCGCGCCACGGGCTTCCTCACCTTCCCCAGCGTGGTCAGGAGATGAAAGTCTATGGACTCCCGGTATCGGAGGATTTGGAGGATGCCATCCAGGTAGACTTGGTCTTTACTGAAACACCCTACAAGAAGCACAGGTGTTTACTTTCTGATGTTTAATAAATTACTACAAAACTGGGTACTAGTCCAATTCCCTCTGCTGTGGGAACAGCCTTGAAGTATAAATTTTTTTTTTTTTTTTTTTTTTTTTAGTATACAAATTCTAATGTCGGGCTGGGGTGAAGCTCAGCAGCGAAGCCCCTGCCTTGTGTGCACAGGGCCTGAGTTCCAGTCTCAACACTGAAAGGGGAAAAAATCCAGTTTGCCAATGTTTATTTATAATAATAAAAACATGTGAAGTGTTGGGAAAGCCAGCACAGTTTACAGACGAGGCTTCCCTCCCCCACACTCCTCCTTACATTTCTCCCTAATAGTTAGAAAGGCTGGCAGATTAAAATGCATGGTTCTCTTGATTTTCCCGCCCCCTGACCAATGTAACAGGATGCCCTGGGTGTGAGAAGACACTGATGGGCAGGATGGGGAGTCTGGGGGCAGTCAAGGTCTCCACAAAGGCCATGTGCTGACAGGCTTCAGAAAGCTTTCCTTTCATGGATTTTTAGGGGGTGTTTTTTGTTGTTGTTTTGTCTTCTTGAGACCAGGTCTCAATATGCAGTTCAGACTGGCCTTGAACTCACTTTATAGTTCAGGTTGACCTCGAATTCTCAACAATCCTCCTTCCTCAGCCTTCCGAGTGCTGGGATTACAGGCATGCACCCTCACACTTGGCTGTTAGGTAAGCTACTAACATGGGGACTGTGGAACATTCTGATCCACTCAGCAAGAGTAACACACGGCAGCACCCAGAGCCAAGGTGTTGAAACTGTTCTTATAATACTACAGGGAAACAAGAACACGGAGGAATACAGGAACCAGTTAGTAACGGTGGTCATTATTAAGATCAGGTAATATATTAATGACGGCTCAGTATATTATGTTTGTTTATACATACACTGAAATTTTCCCAAACACAGCAACCTATTCTGGGCCCCTCCATCTCTCAGGAGCTATGCCTATATTCCCCATTTCCCCATTACTATTCTCCAATAAAATTTCCTACTCTTTTTTTTCTTTTTTTTGGTGGAACCGGGGATCGAACGCAGGCCCTTGCGCTTGCCAGGGCAGCACTTATTCCACTGAGCCATCTCCCCAGTCCCAAAATGTCCTACTCTTAAAAAAATAAATTTTTCATAATAATAAGCTTTAAAAAAGTAGATAAAGCAAAAGCTAAATGCTCAGGTCGCATGCTTGTCACGGGTATGACAGACAACAGGGAGGCCCTGTGTACTACAACAGGCTACAGAGAGGCACGGTGGTGTGCAGCTATAACCCACCACTCCAAAGGCTGCAGCAGGAAGATTGCAAGTTCAAGCAACTGTGTGCCTTGGTGAGAACCTGTTCCAAAACGAGCTGGGAGACAGCTCAGGGAGAAGGCCCTGCATTTGGCCTCCAGCCATGAAAAAACCAAACAGAGATCTAAAGCAAGAGAGAGAAGATGACAGACGTTTTATCAGGAAACATCCTGGACACAGCTGTGCACACAGGAAACCATGACCCCCCTCCTGGTTCCTGCATTGCTGACCCCACTTTCAGACCACTCCCTTCCACACAAATGCATCCCTGGTGCAGCACATTAATGGGTGCCGCGCTGGTGACATAACCACCACAGCCTGAGTGTTTCCAAGCTCTGAATAAGCAGTTTCAAAATACTTTAGGTGGAATTTTTTAAATAGTGGACTAATCTCAAAGTAAAAATGATGTTTAAGCAAATAGTTCCTAATTTTAGCCTTTTATTTTCAAAACAGTTTCATATTGGAATTACGATTTGTGTCTAGACATCCCCCAGGTGGGTTAGCCCATGAGCGGATGCCCGAGTGGGACACCAGAAGTGAAGCCCAGCTGGAGGCGGTGGGTCACTGGGGCTGTTGTGCCCTCCCAGATGTGCTCATAGACGGGACCTCTGGGAGGTGGCTGATCACTGTGTACAACAGTGCATCAGTCACGAAAGCTTACAGCCAGGTGTGATGTTGGCAGGGGAAGCCTGGTGGGAAGAGACAGGTACTGGAGGTGTGGCCTGGAGGCATTGCATATACACCCCTTTTCCCTTGAGCTCTGCCCACCTCCTGCCTACCATGCCCTGGACTGTCTCATCGGCCATGCTGCCCTGCCTCAGAACGAGACAAAGCAAACTGTAGGTCAGAATAATCTCCTCTCACTTGTGGGTGGCATAAATTATGTCCCTGCAATGAGAAAGTAAGATGGGGCGCGGCCTGGAGGGACCTGGGTTCCTCCCTCCCCCCTTGATGGCTCCATTTCCTGTCTGTCAAGAGCAAGCCTCCTCTGTCAGGCCCCTGCCATGCCACCCTGCCCTGGAGCCAGCTGACTGTGTGCTGAAACTTGTACAAACTGTGAGCTACCAGAAACCCTTCCTCCTTAGTGCTGTGGGTCAGTCGGGTGTTGCAGCTCAGTGAAGAGAGAAGTAAGTAAGACCATTGCCAGAGACTTCTTTTGTGCATCTTGTTAAAAACAAAAGAAAAAAATCTTGCGGGCTATCTGACATCTTTAGGCTACTGACAAAAATTTTTAAACTTTCTTTTACCAAAACAGTGCATCTACAGACACTAAAGGTAGAAAGCACTCAATGTGGGTGCTAAGAAGTGAGGAGAGGGGAAGAAATGGAGAATGACTGCTAACGCGGTGATAAGAATATTCTGAAACTACCAGGCAACGTGGTGCACTCCTACAATCCCAGCACTTGGGAGGCTGACACAGGAGGATCAGTGTGAGTTTGAGACCAGCCTGGGCTACAAAGTGAGCTCAAGGCCAGCCTGAACTGTATAGCAAGACCCTGTCTCAAAATGACAGAAAAAACAAAGAATACTGTGAAATTGGTGGCAACATTTGCACAACTCTGTCATGTCTTAAAAAGCACTACACTTTACATTTTGTTTTATTTTTTTAGATTGATGTGTTTTGTACAGGGCCTCACTACGCAGCTTGGACTCAAAGTGATCCTCCTGTTTTCAGCCTCTCCAGAGCTGGGGTTACAGGCGTGTGCCACCATGCCCAGACTCTGTGGCCAGCTCAGCGTGCACAGGGGGCTAGTGCGACATGTGGTCTTGGGGATCAAACCCTGGTCTATGTGCTTACCTAAGCAGGTGCTTAGTCTGTAGAGCTATCTTGCCAGCCCGCTACACTTTACATTTTAAATGGTTTAGCTGCATGGCATGTGAATTAAATGTCAATGAAAGTGTTTTTCAAAAGCTGGAGAGAAAGTAAAAATTAACAACTGCTGAATCTTGATAAGAGAAGGATGTATGAATGTTACTAGACTGTAAATTTTCAAAAATGAGTGATACAAAGATAATGCTGAGAAAGAGTGTTTTGGAAAACAAAGGTTTCCTGAGTGGGTCCTTAGATCTTATAATTAGACTCTGACCTGCACCCCAGGCCAACTGGCCAGTGACTCAGGGACCCATGATCAGGGACACTCACCTGGCTGGGAGGTGTCGGTCCAGCCCCTCTTGGCTCGTACACAGTAATCCCATCGGGTGTTGGGGTCCTTGACAAATTTGCCAATATCTCTGAAGAGTTCACAGAATGACATGTGGCTGGCCTGGTACACGGTGTAGTAGAGGAGGGCGGCCCTCCACAGGAAGGGGTCCTTCCTGAGCAGGACGCTGTGCAGGCTCGCCAGGCCCTCCTCTGTGGGGTTGTTGGGCTTCAGCTCGTGTTTCCTGCGGCCTGTCCAGCTGTTCCACGGCTGCTGCAGGTTGTTGATACCTCGGAAGTAATGTGTGCCTGCAGGGGAGAGGAGAGGGGTGGGCGAGGAAGGCTGCACTACATCCCAGGCAGAAGGGCTAGGTTCCCAGCTCAGACCCCTGGGAGGTGGAGGAAACTAGGGTGAGGCCTAGGGGAGATTTCTAGGTTATTGGGCTATGCCCTCCCAGGGAATAACAGGATCCCAGCCCCTTCCTCTTCCTCTCTCTCTGGTTTTTTTGGCCTTGAATTCACTTGTGTTATAATTCGGACCAACCAATCCTGGATGGAAACCTCCCAAACTGTGAGCCAAAATAAATCTTTTCTCATTTTAAACTGAGTATGCCAGTTATTTGTTATAGGAATAGAAAACTGATACAGAAAAGATTCTATCAACAATTCTAAATTGATGTGGGCCTATAAGTCAATACAAAGTAGAAAATGACTTTCCCTAAAGCCTCTGGGGCTAAAGGAGTACAGTCCTTTCAGAAAGCCCATATGGCCTTTGTAACCATATCGTTAGAGAGAAGAACAGCCTTAACGTTGGAAAAGAATCTTAGAGACACTCATTTTAAGCCCTGGGGAGTTGGGGAGCAGAAATGCAGAGTCAAATGACTTCCCAGGCTTGGTATGGCTACAGCTAGGTGGTGTCCTAATAAACTGAACCTGAAATAAATACATGTCTCTTTCTTCTCTCTCCCCTCCCTCTCTCTGTATTCCCCTCCCTCTCTTCTCCTTTTCCTTCTCCCTCTCACTCTTTCATCTTTTTGAGACAGGGTTTCACTATGCAGCCCAGGCTGGCCTAAACTCACAGCGATCCTCCTGCCTCAGCTGCATCAGCTTCCTGGGCACTGGGATTCCAGCTGCACACCTCTACACACAGCCAAACACACAGTCTTTAGTCCTAGCACTGTTACCAGCCGCATGCTTCCTGCTAAGAGCACCGCCCTGCGCTAACCCTTGCCTTTTAGTAGCCAGGCCAGAGCTGCTCACCTATCTCATGCCGCAGCATCCCCTCCAGCCAGTGCTCGCGTGCGGTGGCCACGTTGATAGTCAGGGTGGGACACCCATTGACGACTGTCATCGAGGCTCGAGACAGCAGGTCCTCAGTGAGGTGCACTACAATCTACGGGACAAGCGAAAAGTACATGTGTAGAAAGCAAAGTAAAGGTGAAGAAATGCTGTCACAGAAAGCCAGGAGCCCCGGAATGAGCACTGCCTCTTGTCTACGTCTACCCTAACACTCGCAGAGACCAGGACAATAGAATGTGCAGCCAGCCACCTTCATCTGTCTTGACCCAAGAACCTTTGCTGATGAGAAGAAAGAGAGCTATGCTGAGGAGACTCAGGAACCTAAAACTGAACCAGTAGGGTCTCTCAAGTAGTCCCTGGTGACAGAGGTCAGAAGAAGGTGCAGGGGCAGAGTCTTGCTGGTGGCCATATGAAGTCCCTGAGACTGAGCACTAAGATGGGACCACTAATGGGAGAGGCCACCAGGCAACGCTCCTCGTTAGCAAGCTTCAGGCGTGAATTCATATAACCCCATGGCTATACATGAAAGGCTGGAAGAAGAGGGAAAAAGCAAAGGAAGCCGAACACCACCACGACATCTCAAGGCAAGGAGCTGCAGCATGGGGAGCAGCACCCGCGGCCCACCTCTCCCAGGCAGCCCTCCTTGGTCAGGTACTTCCGCACGTGGCTCCAGATGCGCGGCCTTGACAGCAGGCTGCCGCCCGTGGCCTGCTCAAATTTCTCGTAGCTTCCATACTTCTGTAGAGTCAGTTCCATGATACGGATGGACTGAAAAAGCAGGAGAGAGGACCACAGTAGAGGACTTCGTATGACTCTGAGGTGAGCAGCAAGCCAGCTCTGGCACTCCAACTGACTGATTACCACAGTAAATGGCAAATGAGGAAACACTACAATTAGCACCTGAATTTAAAAAAAAAACTTCAGAAGTTTAAGAACATATTAAGGAATCTATTAGCCTCTGTGACACTCTAAAATCACAGAGACTGATGTTTTCCTGAGCTAATCTGACAGACAACACAGTCTCAAGGTTAATGAGAATGCTTTTTCTTTCTTTTAGGCCAAAGAATTGTCTACTTCTCATTCTTTATAAATTTTCACAACAAACAAATACAAAAGTTGAAACTGTTTCCTCCACACATGCACAGAAGACCAGAGGAGTCTGCTAACAAACTAAAAATTACCAGGAACTATGCAAAAGTCACAAAAAAAAAAAAAAAAGGAGGCAGAGAATTGCCCTTTGAAGGACTTTTAGAGCAGAAACTGGAAAATTCAAATATACCTCCTGTGAGGAGAGGAGGTGCAAGCTCCGAGGCGGGGCCTCTGGAACCTACACCCTGGCTCTTTGCCCTCAAGCCCATCTCTACACTGGCCACTAGGCCTCCTTGCCCCTCACTTGGGAAGAAGGATAACAAAAACAGTGTCCACTTCAAGGTTTTGTTGAGAACACTCTGTCCACCTTTGTCAAGCATATTGCATGGGACATAAAATGAAACTCTACCTACTATTACATCAATGGTATATTACCATTTTTTATAGACACTATCACTATAAATAATAAGCCTGCCATCAAAATGACAGGCCAGCTCACAAGTGTAAGCCATCATTATTCAACATGTATTCTGATTAGAAGCATGTGCATTACTAATAAGGTAGGCATGTATCATAAAGGCACCAGAACTAGCAGTGACTTTAAGAGGCTCTGTGACTGCTGGTTCCAAACTATTACTGAAAGGCTTCCTAGTCAGTGGGCAGACAGTGCTGCAGAGTGGGAACTCATCCTAGATGCAGGAGTGTGGCCCCGCCCTGTCCTCATGCTGTGAGGTCAGAGTCTTGTCCTCTAGACCCCCGGCTCAGTCACACACACGGAACTGTGAAGAGGATCCCAGAGAATGCAAGTGCGGTGCTTGAGTCTGATCCATTGGTAAGATAGCTAGGACAATAACAAGCACTCGTTAAAAGTCCATTTTAACAGAACAGCAAAGGTAAATCACACACACACACACACACACACACACACACGAGAGAGAGAGAGAGAGAGAGAGAGAGAGAGAGAGAGAGAGAAAGAGACTGACTGACTGACTATGGGTCACCAGTCATCCAGTTAGTGAACTGAGAAAAGAATGTGGGCAATGCAGCCTTAAGCACCGCAGAAGACACTGGAGGGACAGTTGCTGGACTGGACTGACAGACCTGAAAAAGGTTAAATAGGTTAAATTCTTTCACTACAATTTCTGCCTCCAGGTTTTTCTATACAAAGCCATTCCAGAGAAAAGTACCTTTTGTTAGCATATGTGTATTCAGTAGGGAAATGTAATTATCTGATTACTATTTAATATGCAAATATAAAAGTCTAGAGAATTAAAAATTATAGGTATTGCTTCTTATCATGGATGAAAGAGTAACTCAGGAAAGGATAAAATTAATGGAGACGTTCTGCAGTGACAGAAGGTGTTTTTCCTATCAAAACGGTACATGTCTGCATGCTGCCTCCCTCATGTCTGCACAAGCGCCACAGGACCGTGGTGGAGGGGACAGCACACGGGACGTCACTGTAATTCTCCACACGAAATGTTAAGCAGCACCACGTTATCATCCATTTTTCCTCATCTTTCCTGATTGTACTCTTTTCCTTTACTAGTATTCCAATTTTAGAAAAAAGTAATTTCAAAAGATACTTTCAAGACTGGGAACGATTCCGCACGGCTGATGTTTATATTTGGGAAGGGGGCAACAGGATACACTGATGTGTGCTGTTTGCATTCTTCACACATTTTAAAATTCTTTGTAGTATACATATATTTTTGCTATGACCAGAAGGAAAAAGTCTTTTTAAAAAAGTCGGTGAGGGCTCTGAGAATCAACATTTGCACTACTTAAGAGAATCAAGCTTTTTCACACCACACATCAATAACACTTTTAGAGACAATCAATTTTAGGTCAAACTTTATGTCATTATAACATCATCTATGCTAAGCAAAAAAGTATACTTCACAATGTAGTATATGGTACTAAAGAGCATACAATGGAGAAAAAGGATGGATAAAGGCTTAAATAAAATTCTAGCATACTTCAAAGAGGACCATTCACTTATCTACCCACTTATTCACCATCCATCTTCATGAGCACCTACCAATCGCTATTACTTTTTCATAGAAATATATATGAAATATATATATATATATATATATATATATATATATATATATATATAGTGTGTGTGTGTGTGTGTGTGTGTGTGTGTGTGTGTGTGTGTGTTGTGTACTGGGGATTGAACTCAGGACCTTGAGCTTGCCAGGCAGGCACTTATGCTGCTGAGCTATCTTCCTGGCAATTTTCTGTATTTTAGAAACTAGGTCCTCATCCTACCATTAGGTTAACAGATGACACAGAAACAGACATAATGTAGTAATACTTTGATAGAGCCAGAAGTAAACTATGGTAAGATCGCAGAAAAGGGGTAAGTAGAAGTTGAGGTTTACAGGGCATTCCAGGAAAAAGCAGTAATATCATCAAAAGCACATGGAAGCCGATGACAGTGAAACGCAGCATGGGAAGAGGCGCTCTCACAGGAAGGCGCTAACGCTGCAGCACTCCTAGGGAGGGCAGACTTACACACTCCACCACCCCACAGAGGCCAGGGGCTCATCTCAGATCCGACACCAAAGCATGAACGATAAAAGGTGACCTGGGCTGTACCAAGGTTAAAACCTTTTGTACTCTAAAGGATAGCATCAAGAACCTGAGATCCAGAATGTGCTCAAGGTGTGGTTATGATTTGTGTATATTTGTCCCCCCAAGTCTCATGCAGTCATTGAGGCACAGTTCTACAGTTTGTGATTAATTCATGATCCAAGGCTGGAATTAAGGGTCTGAGTCCTGCCAGGATTATGGGTCAGAGTACTGCTGGGATTACGGGTGTGAGTGCTACACTCAGCCTGGGACAGATAACCTGAATGCAACATAAGACAGACAGACAGACTTGCTCTCTGTAGCCACTGTTGCTGCTACTCCTCCCTTGCACTCTCTGCTCTTTGCCACCACCAGGAAAGGTTGCCCTCTGCCTTGTCTGCTCTGCCTTGGAGCCAGCCGAGTATGGACTGAAACCTCCAGTAACTGTGAGTAAATAAATTTTTCCTTCCTTCATCTTGAGTGCTGGGTATTTGTGCCAGCAATGAGAGAAGAGTAACCGAGACATGTGGTGCCACACCTCATGGGTATTCAAGCGGGGACTGGGCCACGAGACTCCAACATCACCCAGTAGACTCACCTACTCATCAGTTCACTAGCTGGAGGGCTGCTGGGAGCGAGGCCTGGTTAGAGGATGGGAGTCAGCAGGGTGTCCTCGGAAGGATGCGTTTTGTCTCCAGCACTCATAGGGCTCTGTCACCCTCCCACCTCCACCACCTTATTCTGTCTTAATACAGGCCTGAGACAGCAGTGGAGCCAGCTGACCATAGACAGAAGCCTGTAAAACTGGGTGTCTCCTTTCAGTCATCATATCTCAGGTTATCCGTCAGAGCAACAGAAGCTGACTAACACACAGTGCACAGCACAGAAGAAAGCATGTGCAAATCTCACATCTGATATGGGACTTGTACCCAGAATGAATGAAGAAATCTTGCAACTCCTTAATAAAACCACAAATAATCAAATTAAGAATCGGCAAAAATCTCTGAATAGACAGTATGCCAAAGAAGATGCACAAACAGCCAACAGGCAAATGAAAAAAGAGGCTCAATATCTTTAGCCCCCAGGAGATGCACAAAACCCAATGAAATGCCATCCTGAGGCAGGAAGAGCACTGTGGATCTGAGGCCAGCCTCAGCTACTATAGTGAGTTCAAGACCAGCCTGAAGTCCATAAGAAAGACTAAAACAAAACAAAACAAAAACTACTGCAAAAAAAAAAAAAGGAAGAATAATCAAGTGACATACATTTAAACCATTAATCCATAAAATAAAAAATTTCTCTACATAGAGCTTTCAGCATTTTCTTGGGTGACATAACTAACTTCCTGAAAAGTTTCAATATTTTGCTAAATGATCTGCTTTTGGTTTACTTCCTGGGTTTGTTTAACGTTTAACAATTTGGAAATCTGGCCATCAGTCACCAGCCATCAAACATGACAACAGTCATATGCTAAAAAACGATCTCCCTTCCCAAAGGCTATTTTCCCTCAATGAAAAACATTTCTCAGCGGGGCCACTGACCAGGGGTTGTGCTGCAGAAGACGAGATCCCAGAGGCCTAGATTTACATCTGGGTGCCAGCAAGTGCGGACGGTGTCATGGTGGGTGTGTGTTTTAATTTTCTCAAGCACAGCGTATTTTCCAATAAAATGGAGATGAACATCCATATCTTGCTAACCTCATTGCACGGACAAGGTGAGGGTGGGAAGCGGCACTGCCAATGTGCTCTACAATCTATTCTCTATAGGTCTCTACAGTATGTAAATTGGGCAGAAGCATGCTAGGTTTTAATTGTGTGTGTGTGTGTGTGTGTGTGTGTGTGTGTGTGTGTGTGTGCAGTGTTGGGGATTGAACCTGGGCTCTCTGCCCACAGCCCTTTGTATTTGTTTTTAAATTTTGGGAAAGGTCTCACTAAGCTGCATGAGCTAGCCTTAAACTTTCTATTTATTTAAGTTTTGAATTTGGGATTTCATTTTTTAATTTTTATTTTCTTGAGACAGGGTCTCACTGTGTAGTTCACACTGGCCTTAAACTCAGGAGATTCTCCTGCCTCAGCCTCCAGAATGCTGGGAGTGCCACCATGCCCTGTTTAATATTTTATTTTAAATTGATTGGCTTGTCCTCTAACTTTTCATTCAAGGTAATTTTTTTCTGCCTTGTTAATTAACATACAATCTCAATACCTCATTCCTTTGCTTTGCAGCAAATTCTAGAATCTGAACCCCTTACAGAAGATGAAATAACCCTTTTCTTTAAGCCAGTATTTTACAAACTATTCTTTGAGTGAAAGTGGGTATGTGATATAGTTTTTCAGTTTCCATGAACAACTCAACCTGGAAAATATTGGAATAAATAGCCAAGACCCTTGCCAGCTTCTGTGATGACGCTGCGGTGAATGCTATGAACATAACACCCAGCATTTTCTGATCCCATGGTCCCCCTTTTTTAAGTGTTCCTAAGAAGACCTGGAGAATGCTTTCTGCAGGTAACAACAGGGACCTGCTATTCAGGTATTACGAGAGTCTCCAATGAAGAGCAAAATTCCAAATACTCAAGGAGGTTTTCAGTGGCAGCTACTGCTTCATGGTAACACATCAGGGTTACAGGGATCTGTGATAACATTAGGTCACATCCTCCACATGAAGCACTGCAGCCACCAACCTACAGCACACGCTTGCAGGGACACAGACTTCATGCCTTCAGCTGTAAGAGTGACCACAGCACAAAGCTACCAGCTCTGAGGAACCTGGGAGGGACGATGGAGCAGCACCTTTCCATTCGGTGTTCAGAAAACACCATGCCAACCAAACAAGAAATACATGCAGGCTGAACTTGGCCCCTCGCCACAAATTTAGAAACCTCCAATCACAGATCTAGAGTTTATAAAGTATTCAATATATTCCCAACACTGCAGTGAAGAGGACCATTTGCCGACCTAGCTCCTCACAAGTTCTCCTCCATGGTCACCTTCTATCCATCACTTACTTTCTGACTTTCAGAAACTAGTCACTGTCCTGCTGTTAGGCTGGCAGGTAACACACAAATAGACACAGTGTAGTAGCACTTTGATGGAGTTATAGACTACTGTGAGATCGTCTAAAATAGGTAACCAAGTAGGGGATTAGCAGTGACAGAGGGCATTCCAGGCAAATGGAGTACTACTGTCAAAAGCACAGAGAAACCAAAGAAAGTAAAACACAGCTTGGGAAGAGTCACTCACAGCCAGGAGCTGCGCTAGAGATTGTGGAGTAGTTGAAATAAATAAAATGCCTTGATTCCAAGGAGGCCAATCTAGTGATGAAGAAATAAGAACTTAAAAATGGTCACTGAGTAAATGTCACACAGGATCCCATGGGAGCAGAGTTGCCTTTGTGAGAGGCCCTGAAGGCCAAGGATTCTGTTGGAATGACAAGGACCCCAGCAGATCCTCAGGGAGAGAAGTGACACGATCAGATGTGCACCTTAGAAAGACACTGGCAGGAGAGTACAGCGAGCGAGATTGGAGGCAGCACAGGTATTCTGGCCAGGAATCCAGTTTTCTTTAATATGAACTGTAGACTAGGATCAAACTGCAATAAAAAGAGACAAACCAGAGTATTTCAAAAAGTCATATTCTAGATAGAGAGAAGCCAGGAAATAAACAGGTCCAGACACTGAGTCTGTCTTCTATGAATGACAAGGCCCCATTCTGTGTAGTCCACTCCTTCTGACCCGGGGTCTCCCCTCTGCACTCTGATTGACAGGGGCAGGGCAGGGCAGGGCAGGGCAGGGCAGGGCAGGGCAGGGCATGTGATGTGGATGCAGGACAGGAGGGAAAGGAAAGCGGAGATGTTTATAGATGGCTGAGCCCTGCAGGTTGTTCTTCCACCACTGCCAATGGAACTAGGAAAGACCTGGCTGAGATAACCTGAGAATGTGCAGGCCAGCGGGTCAGTGAGGTTTCAAAATCAAGTCAACAAAGCCTTGCCATGAGGCATCAAGGTCATTCTTCTTCCAAGGACAAACAATCTGATGGGCGTGTTTCCATCCAATCTGGAAAAAACCTCTCTAGCTATTAGGTTAAGAAATGACCCCACTTCTCCAACCTAGTACACAAAGCTACTGTGAAACACAGCAAAAAGCCTTTTAACTTCAGGGTGTCTTTGAAAGGTTCATGATTTGCCAAAACAGAAAATCATGTTATCTAAGAAGAGGTGCAGTTTATTTAAACAAGCCTTGCTTTTTCTTCCCCTTTATTGTTTTGGCAATATGAGGCCCAAAATAATAATATACTCTTCCTCTTCTATTACTGTACTATTATGACAGCCTCAGGGAACTTTCAGGTCAAGATACTTTCCTAGTGAGGGTATTATATATCAATTAAATTTTTTTCTGTCAAAAAAAAAAAAGAAGGAAGCTGAGAATGGTGGCACATGCCTGTAATCCCAGCATCCCAGGAGGCTAAGGCAGGAGGATCTCTGAAAGTTCAAAGCCAACCTAGGCCATGCAGTGAGTTCAAGGCCAGACTAAATTTTACATAGTGAGACTCTGTCTCAAAAAATAAAAAGAAACAAAACCAAAACCAGAACGAAAAACCTATCTTGCAAACAGATCTTTTGATCACTGACAAAGCTAAGCTGAGGATCATGTATTCTAAAAACTTGTCCCACTTTAACTATGTGCAGTCTACAAATACCGCAACACCATGTTCTGAAGACAAACACCAGCCAATTTCTCCTCAATAGTTTTGTAAGGTTTTGGCTTATAACCCTAAAACTATGTGCTAATTGTAAAGTGAACACTTTAGGAAATACTTTTATTTGTGTGATTATTTGTTAGTACCAAAGATAATATTTAAAACCCCATTTTTTTCTTTTTTGAAATGACTGATTGGTTATTGTGGTGCTTGGGCTCAAACTCAGGGCCTTGCTCATGGTAGGCAAGCACTCTACTGCTGGATTACAGCCCCAGCCCGTTTGTTATCTTTTTTAAATGAGCACTTAAATACTAGGATGATAGGGCCGGCCAAATAGCTCAGCAGATTAAAGCGCCTGCAAGCAAGTGCAAGGGCTGGGGGTTCAGTCCCAGGGCCTGTTGTGCCAGCCCTGCCCCCGGGACCCTCTGAGGTGGCAACTGAGACTGGGCATAGTGGCACACGCCTGTAATCCCAGCTCTTGGGAGGCTGAAAACAGGCGGATCACTACAAGTCCGTCTAGTAGTGAGACCCTGCATACCCTGTAGACCCCTCCCTAAAAAATACAAAAAATAAATAGTAGGATGATAGTTAGTTATTTTAGCAGAACATTAACAAGTTGACGGGCAAGAATCCAGCCTGGGTTCCCAAACTGCTACAGGCTGGAAAGCTGGGGAGGAACCAGCTTGGAAGCACCAGAGATCACACATGCCACCTACACATTAGAACTCAACTAAGAAACAAAAGCAAAGTGTAAGCGTCCCAGCTACCGCCTGTGGGCATCTCATGGGCCAAGAACTTGTAACTCCTGAACAGCATCAACCCGCATCTGAAGCTGACTTCAAACAGGGCTACTTCCTGTCACAGGAGTCAGACAACAGATTCTAGATTTTGATGAGAGCTACATTATTCACAAACAGGTAATATCTGGAGATTTCTTGTTATATATCTACCTGTCCTGGGTGGGACTTAATTACCACATATGAATTACAGGACAATTTAAAAATTATTTTGCTTCAAAACGGTAGATAGTTGTTCTAGCTACATAAAAATGAAATGCACTACTGGCATTTTACCTGCTTCAAAAATCGGTCAGATGCGTTGCTGTGCTTGGCTAACACACTCGGCAGGGCCGGGTTGGCATATTCAAACTGGGGGTTGTAGGTATAGTCAGATTTGAAGAATCTCAGTTTTTCTTTTTCTAAATTGGTCGGTTTTATAGCAGTCAATATGCAAAATCTCTTTCCAGAAAAGTCATCTGCTTTTTCGAAGCTTCTAGATAGCTGTGGCTGCTGCTTGGGCTTTGGCAGAGGAGAGAAATGGCATCGCTTGATCTTGCTTTTGGGTTTGGGTGGCAGGACTATGCTGTTCCCTGTAACAGAGATATCACCGGTAAACTTTACAGGGCTCGACACTGAGCTAGTGACAAACACAGCAGGCTGCCTCTCCAGGCAATACCAAGTAGCACTGCTTGTCACGGGCACTGGGGCTTTCGTCCTGCGAGGGTCTCTGCTACGAGAAGAGCTAGCGCATTTGCTGGGCTTCCTATATCTTTTGGAGCAGGTGGAGGAAGACTGCTTTTGTGCGTGGTGCTTTCTTTCCTCCTTGCTCTGCAGTAGGACATTGTAACTACTGGTTCCGGTTGTGAAAATGTCCTTCAGTATTCCAGAGGACGAGTGCGAAAGGTTCTTCTTGCTGTCAAGGACCAAGGAGTCTTCTGCATTTAGAACAGACTTCTTAGCAAGTTCTTGCTCAGGCCAGTGAAGCTTTTCTGTGTTAAATAAATAAAATTAAAATAAAAGAAATAACAAAGACACCAGATGAAGCAAACTGCTTTTATACGAAAAATATTTTGAAGTGTTACAAACTTTATAAATTCATAAAATCTTTAGAAAAGGTATTTAAATAGTAAGAGGTGTATTACTTGGCTAATGCTAGACGCTGTCACTTTTCTTCCCCATGAATATATGTTAAATTATCTGTAAAAACCCTCAGCTTCCAAAGATGTACATGATCAAAATCCAGTGCAGATGTGAGGTAAGACACTAAATAACCTGAAAACACTACTAAAGAATGTTAATTTCAGAAAACATATACTCTTCATTGTGTTACTAATGATCAAGGAAAACCCAAGGCACTGTAGAAGGCACTAGGATCTTGAAATATGGAACTATGAAAACAGCAGCCTGCTTACCTCAAAAGTCACTTTTTAGATTAAGCAGACGACATGTGTGTTCAAAGCATGTTCTAATGCCCCTCAGTATCAACAACTGGTGGATTTTATTAACTCTATATTTTACGTTTAAAGTGTTTTCTTGACAAGACTGAAAGCAAATGTATAATTACTATTACCACCACATGCATATATTAAGTGGCAAGTTAAAGGGAAGGCAGCTTAGTCTTCAGGGCTCAAAAGCACTTTAAGAGGGCTGGTCAGATAGCTCAGCGGATTAAAAAACCTGCTTAGGCACATGCAGGGGCCAGGAGTTCAATGCCTGGGCCCGCCCCCAGGGTGCTCTGAGAGGGTGATTGAGACTGGGCATGGTAGCATGCCTGTAATCCCAGTTCTTAGGAGGCTGTAAACAGGAGGATCACTAGAGTCCAATCTACGCAGTGAGACCCTGTACACTCTGTATACCCTTTAAGGGACTGGGGAAGTAGCTTGGCGGTCTAAGCACCTGCCTGGAAAGCGCGAGGATCTGGATTTGATCCCCAGTACCGCATGCTGTGCCAGCCTCAGAGCTGTACCAGCCACTGAAACCAGGTATGGTGGCACATGCCTATAATCCCAGTGCTGGGAAGGCTGAGACAGGAGGACCACTATGAGTCAGAGCTGCATAGTGAGACCCTGTACCAAAAAAATAAATAAAAGATTTTTTTTTTAAAGTTGTCCATTAGGTGCCTGGATTGCAAGGGACCATCACCGCTTCGCGACGCTCCTCCTGGCCACAGTGGTCGTGCTACTCATCACCCCTTTCTAGACCAGCATGATCCACTGACTTCCCCCAAACATGTGAGTCTCACTGAGGCTCCCACCACCTCCTTTTTCTACTGCTCTTGTTGAACTGTGCCAGGCCTGCTCCAGAGCTGTGCTTGCTGGCTTCTCGGCACACCCGGAACATGGATGTATGTACACGTCAGAGCCGCGGCCTACTGTGCTTTCAAAGCTTTTCTAAGTAGTGGTTCCGGCCTCCTCAGCAAAGCCAACTCTTTCTTTGATGCTTAACCCATTTCTCCCACCAAGTCACAAGTTTTTTTCTGATGAAACCTAGCTTAAATCCAGCTGTGTGAACAATATCTAGCTCTAGTCTTGTCAACAAATGTTCACTGAATAAAGTAACTAGTTAGTCACCCTAACCACGCCATTCTCCAGCCATTCTGCGTAAAGAGGGACCTAGAGTTCTGGAGCCATTCTATATTCCTATAAGAAGAACTATGAGAAGCGGAGACACAACGAAGACCCTGAACCCCTGGTCCTGAGCTACAGTGATTCTACCCTTGGGGACATCTGGCAACACCAAGATGTTCAGGGTGTCTCATCAGGAAAGGGATACTGGCATCCATGGGCAGAGGACAGGGATGACGCAAAGATCCTGCACAGGAGTCTTATATATAAAGAAATATTCACCCCAAAATGTCAGTGGTGCCAAGGTAAAGGAACCCTTTCCTAAATGTTAATTTTTAAACCCCAGAAGTCATAGGGTTTAAGGTGAAGAAAGAGTACCAGCTCACAAGTGGCTGAAAGCAACCCAACTGTATAAAGTACTTTATTTATCTGCTTAAAAAGAGTTGTTATTTTATGCCAACAATGATCTAAGAAGAAACCAAGAGACAGTATTAAGTGAATGAGGATCATGTAAAGTACTTTAATGAGTCCATTCACGTACATTTTCTAGGACAGTGTATGAAATCTCAATTTGGGTATCTGAAAGTATTTCTGGGCACCGAGTGTCTACCAGTTTGTATGTACAAGTATAGAGGTAGAAGTTAGTTTGTGGTCTCGCACTGAAGGTGGGCTATACACAGAAGCCATTCACAGCATGTTAAAGATTCAATCAGCCAAAAATAACAGGACAGATACAATGCTGGCAGGTCCCAGTTTAGCATGAGTTCTTGGCATAAGTGGTGCCAACTGACAGTCACTGACCAGGCAAGCAAGCTAAGAGATACCATGAAGTAGGCTGCAGCCAAAAGGCCTAACAACAATGCCAGTGTCCCTGAAGAGACCCGTTTAGGAAACGAGATGATAATGAAAGCAACACTGAAAGCGACAGTAATTGGGAAAGAGCAAGAGAATGAGATAAGAACACAGCAGTGTCACCAGCCGAGAGAAGTAGGGTAAGGACCAGAGCGGCCGGAAGGTAAAGGGAGGTAACCAGGTTCCTCCTCCTCATTTGTGAGCTTCTCTGAAGAAAAGGGAAAAGTTGCACTGAATTGAAACTGATGAACAAAACCACTCTGAGGAATTCTGACTTTGCTGGTTTATTACACAACTGTTGTGATTTTTTTAAACAAAATAATCAATGCAAAAATGACTGCTTTGACTCTGAACACTTCCCTTTCTCACCATAGAGCTGATCTCACTGTGTTCTTCTGTTTTGTCATAAAGCACCAGTCACTTCCAAAGAGACTCACGTCAAATAATCTATATACTTCAGGATATGAAAAAAATGCCCAAGGCCTACCCCAGGAAAGAGGGTGGCAGAGGGTACGTGACAGAAGCCCTCTCCTTGGGGATGTGGCCTTCAGCTCACCTGCCAACCACCTACTGGGGCTCTGCAAGGCCATCTGCTGCTGCACAGGCCACAACACCAGGCCTGCCAAATGCTGGCTCTTCCCTGAAGCCCAGAAAGGTGGGGCCTATGGTCCCTCACGCAGCTCAGATGAGATGGACATAACTTCTAGTCATAAGCATACTTTGGTTACATGAAATTTTATTTTCACAATTTTAAGTATCATTTGATTTAAAAAATGATCTTTCATACATGAGAACCTAACAGGTTGATGAGACCTATAGTTGTCTACAAAACTTATTAAAGAACACCCCATGCTCTGACTCCTCCTCCTTGAAAATGTTTTTCTTTGGAGTATTTCTCCTGAAAGAAGTAATAAGGCAATTAAATAGCATAATCTCTCACATGAAAGGTTAATACCATGTAATCTAACACTTTAGCCATCAGCAAACCATTCATTAAAATCTTGAAGTGAATTTGCTCACCCCAAACGACCTGCTGACGAAGAAGGGGCAATTCATTTTACTAAATAAAAATTAGTACTCGGTCTCCCCACAAGCAAGTGAGGACAACGGAAGCTTCACCTGCATCTAGAACGGGAGAAAAGGAGACCAGGAGCCTGGCGTCCCCGGCAGCTCTTTCAATGACCTCTCTGTAACATCAGCCTAATCCTTCAACCCCATCAATGCCTCTGCCATTCAGGCCTCAGTACAAACAATAGGGACAAGGGAACACTGCGCACTCAACCTAGGGTTTCACACCTGGGAGTGGGTGAGGTTTCACATGACTGCAAAGTCCCTGGCTAAATGGCAGATCCCCAGAAACAAAGCCTTGTGGAAAAACACTGCTCAACAAATCACGACCTATAAATTGACCAGGTTTGCCGGTTTCTTTCTTTTGGTGCTGGGGAAGAGGCTCTGTACCGCCAAGTGCAGTACCACACAATAATCTCAGAACTCAGAAAGCCAAGACAGGAACTGTGAGTTCTAGTTTAAGGCCAGTGTAAGCCACACGGTGAACTCAAGGTTGGCCTACACAACGTAGCATAACCCTGTCTCAAAAAATAAAACAAAACCCAATAAACAAATATGCTGCACCACTGAGCTACCTACCCAGCCTACAATAACATACGGTTCACTAATACTTATGAAGACTGACAATCTAGGGTACATCGACACCACTGAACAATTATTTGCTTGGTTAGACTCAGAAGAAAAATTAATCTAAAACAAAATAATCCCTGAAGGAGAGAACACTTTATCAAGTATTATCTTGATAATACTTAAGCACTTAAAACTCAAAAATATCAGTCAAGAGTAGAAAAGGTGAATAAACAGATAAAGTAACAGTAAAATATTACGCTGTGATGAAAAATACTAAGGTTCTTCAGAAAACGTTGAAGAAAGGATGCCAATCAGAGGCGTTTATGTTCCCTTTGTACAATCCTATTCAAGTGAAGTTCAGAAATAATGAAACTCATTGATGGCAGCGGAGGTCAAAAGTGGCTCTTTTGAGTACAGCACTGTCACTGTTGAGAGAGGAGTAAAACACTGGTGATAACAGGAAGCGTACTGAGTGCTAGAAGTCACGTTTCGTTCTGGGCATGGTTATTCACAAAGCTGAAATTTGTACGCTTCACTATATATACATAACCTTCTAATTTCTTTTTCCCAGTATTGTGGATCAAACCTAGGGCTCTGCACATGTAGGCCAGAGCTCTACTACTGAGCTACATCTGCAGCCCTACTATTCAAATATTGTAGTTTTTAAGAACTCAGTGTAGCTTTAGGAACAGTTGTTGTACAATTTGTCTACACTGTGTCAGGTATCTATTAGCTCCCACATCTCTACGTCAACAGCACTTGCTGCAGTCTCTCAACGGGATGGAAAAGAGAGAGTCACGGCTTGTGCCATTCGGGAACTGTGACTCTACTTCCATCTTCAGTTTCACGGCCCACTGGGAACCCTTCAATGTCACCCTATTAGCAACCATCTCAGAAGGTGTGTGCCCTTCTGGGGCCTGAAGGTGACATGCATGGTGTTTATAAGCACACAGGGCGCCCTGGAAAGGCCTGATGATGATGGCTGTGATCAGATCAAGCCCTGAGCCCCATCTCAAGTCATGGCGAATAGCCCATGGCTTTGCGCTGGGCCCTGACCACGGCCCCAGAGGTCATTCGCTGCCGTTACTCCTCATCGTGCACAACATCTGTGGCCCCCACATGCTCCCCTCCAGCCCCTCACCCTCAATCCTGCACACTCTGCCCTTTCCCCAAGGCAGCCCCTCCTACCAGGCCACAGGAACAGCATTTGGTCAGCATCAGGAAGTTGCCGCCCTCTTCCTGTCAGGCCCTGCAGAGAAGGCCCTCTCTCAGAGAAGTGACTGTCAGGCTGACTCTCACATTTGTCTGGGATGGCCTGCCCACGACAGAGTCACAAACTCCTCCACAGCATCGGGCTGTGTGCACCTTGGCCTGCTCTGCTCTGCTTGTGAGAGAAGGTGGCCAGAGAGGTGGCTGAGGGAACAGAGGACCTGAGAGAGGGGGGCCAGAATTTAGTTTTCTGAAAACTGAGGGGAAAAAAAAAAAAATCAACCAGGGAGGTATAAGAAAATGAAACAATTAGCCTGAAAACAGGGGTTTTATCCCTGCACACACAGTACGGAAAAACCTGAGGCTTGAGCTCTATCTCCAGTCCTTGTTTTAGAATTATTTAAATTAAAAATGCCTTTTCTAACTGGCATATGGCTGTGACACACACTAATTATACTAATCATGGGAGCTGATACATATACACCATGGCCATATTTACTTCCCCTTACCCCCAACTCTCCCGTCGCCCCCTTCCTCAGGACCCCTTCCCACCTCCACAAAGCCTGCCTCCCTGTTCCTACCATCTCTTTTTACTTAGCTCTTTAAATTGCTTACATTTTGGGTTTCTCAGATAAGATTTAACCTGCAGTGTCTGCTTTATTTCACTTAGCATTTTGATCTCAAGGGGTACCCACTTTCTTACAAATGACTCCACTTCATTCTTCTTCATGGAAGAGTACTATATCATTGCGCACAGATACATATTCTTCATCCATTTGCCTGTTGATGGACATACAGGCCCTTCTATAGCACAGCTAGGGGCCGGGGAGATAGCTCAGCAGAATAAGCGCTTGTCTGGCAAGCACAAGGGCCTGAGTTTAATCCCCGGTTCCATCAAAAAATAAATAAATAAATAATAAATAAATAAAATTTAAAATATAACACACCTATTACAGCTGTGCCGCTATAACCATGAGTATGTGGGCACCACTATAAAAGGATGTCTTCAAGTCTTCGGGGAAGACATCTGGGTTGACTGGTTTTAATTTTTTGAGGAATCTCACCACAGATTTTTTTTTTTTTGAGACAGGCTCTTACTAAACCATTAAACTGTCCAGGCTAGGCTTGAAAGTATGATCCTCCTGCCTCCTGGTGTTATCCAAGGATTTAAAAAGTAATACTGAGAACATTGCTGGCCCCAAATAAGCAGCCTTTATTAAATATCATTATTTTTATCATCATTTCATTGAATATTATATTTAGCTTCTGTAGACACATCCATGGAACAATGTGAATGGATAAATAGAATCAATAAATTTGCATTTCCTAAGGTATTTTAAATGTTAACAATAAATTCATCAATTCTACATTTTACTATCAACATTTTAGTGGCTTTAGTATAACCAACACTCTTAAAACTCTTTCTGATTTGATTCTATTTTTAATAGCACATGTAGCATATACATCTGTATTTCATTATTCCACTAGCCTGTTGTGGTAGTGCATGTCTGTAATCTCACCTCTTGGTAGTGAGAGGCAGCAGGGTTGCCACGAGTTTGAGGCCAGCCTGGGTTACATAACAACCTGTTTCAAAAACTAAAAAAAAATCATTACACCTCTAATCAGAAGCTCCATCAAGATGTTTTAGACCACATCATATTATGACTGAGTTAAAATAGGCAAGATCATATAGGAAGTGATTTCAGGAACACAAAGTAATTGCTTCAAGCCTGAAATAAAAAATTAGTTTGCTCTCTTCTTATAGCTATTTAAAAAATGATTAAAAGGCACACTTTTGAGCAGTCCTCTTAACAGTTTGTTTTCAGCTAAAACATTATCATAAGGTATCACATTGTCCAAACTGGGTTTCCTGATAATTCACTGAAATGCTGGGCTCAAGGCTCCAGCATTATTTTGACTAGTTAAGTACAATATAAAGGAAACAGACAATTTAAATATAACCTGCTCAAGTTTCTTTTTGTTTTTCCAGTCCTGGGGATTGTACCCAAGGCCTTGAATATGCCAGGCCAGCTGTCTACCACTGAGCCACGTTCCCACACCCTTTTCATTTTTTAAAAAAATATTTTTGAGACTGGGTTTTGCTATAGCCCAGACTGGCCTTAAACTGGAGACCTTGATGCCATAGTCTCCCAGGTAGCTAGAATTACAGGTGTGCCTATAAAGGGACTATCAATCTGAGACTAGAAAGGTCTCAAATGACAATTCAATACCCAGAAAGACCCTATCTCAAAAAAAAATGGACAATTTAAATTTTATCATACTATAGAAATTCACTTCCAAATTATCTAAGACAAAGCATACAATACTGAGTTTGATTGCTAAGTATACTGCCTTTAAATTATGAGGAGGGAAGTGAGCCCACAAGGAAGGGGCAGATTTTATAAAGCAGTTTATCTCTCCTTAGACTTCCAATTACATGTACGGAAATATCAGGGAATCTACTTTGTCTTACAGATTAGTTGAGAAGAATACTTACATTCTAATATGAAGACTACTTTAACTGTATTCTCTCTACAATGATTGTTATACTTTGGGTAATTGATTTGGGGAGCAAATGACTTTAATCAGAGATTTTTAAACCCAATAACTTGCATTGTGATAGAATGTCACTACATTTTATTCCAAGGCAGTAGCATTTGGTGGAAATACAGAGGGCAATTTTGTCCCTTATGGGCCATTTAGCAAATCTGAAGAATTTTTCAATATCAAGCTGGTGGGAGGGGGGTTGAAATATCAAACAAATATCTAGGACGAATTATGCTGCCCAGTGTTAACAGCACCCATGATATAAAGAAGAAATAAGATTTTAAAGTAACTTTTGTTCTGTTCTAAGATGATGTAGCACCTACATCAAAGCCTACTTTAAAAAAAAATCTGATGACAACTCAGGTTGCCTCAGCTCTTAGCTCCTGTAACTGTCTCTACTTTCTGTCAACATCGAAATGAGACAAATCACAGCACTGTCATGACTGCACAGAATCAGCACTCTATTCACTGAGTATCAAATAACAGTATGTACTTAAGATTACAGGTATTGTCACTGGGGAAGAATTTCACTTTTCAATTTAGAAAGCATGGTTTATTAGGTACTGTGATACCTTAAAGTTAAAAATCTGGCCTTGGCCAGGCGTGGTGGCGCACCCCTAATCCCAGCACTTGGAAGGTTGAGGCAGAAGGGTCACTGCGAGTACAAAGTGGGCTCAGGGCCAGGCTGAACTACATGGCGAGACCCTGGCTCAAAAAGATGAAGAAAAAAAAAAAAAAAAAAGTCTGGTTTTATTTTACACAACTTTGAGAATTAGGGCTCTCCCTTTAACCTGTTCTTCATCATAAACACTATCCTACACAAACGTTCTAATTAGGAATCAAATGATGGAAAAACATTTCAGGTTGTTACTTTATTGGTATGTAAGAAATTCTAATGTCTACAAATAATTACATAAAAATAAAAGACAAGCAAACTTTCAGAGCTGGGCTCTAACCAGATTTATGCTTCTTAGCATCAACTTAAAACGTCCACAGTATTTGAGATGAAGAGCGCACACACAGATGCCCGAGGCGTAGACACTCAAATGGAGAGGTGCGTTCTTTTGCTTAGCTCTGCTTTTGTCTGAACCTTCTAGAAATTGATAACGCCCAGGCGCACGCCTGTACTTCGGAACAAGCACACCCGGTGGGACGTCCGCTCGCCAGACCCCGCGGCGGAGCTCGTGGACCCTAAGTGACAGGAGGGGGCCGGTTCTCCGGTCCCCGCGCGGTGTCCCGTGAGGTCCGGGTGCAGACGGGATCCTGGCGGGACCCCGACCGCCCCATCACCTCTGGTCAGCCGGCGACCACCGTCACCCCCGGTCACCCTAGCCACCTCGGCCTGCCATCCCCGCACTCACCCGTCACGCGGATGGACTCCAGCATCGTCCCGCCAGGGCCGAGAGGTGGACTCCGTGGGGTCAGGAGCCGGCGGAACCGCCACCCGCCCAAACCTTGGTAGCGAGACGCGAAGCTGCTCTCGGAGACAGTGCCAGACGGAGAAGTGCGGATACCTGGGCTGTGAGCGGCACTCCCTCCACCCGCAGGCGCTGGCAGATGCACTGGGTTGCTCGACCGGGCGGCCGCACTCAGCACCAGCCGGCGTGACGTAGCTGCTGCTCTCGTTGCTAAGAAACGTCCTCCCCCTCCCCGTCACGCACGCCGCGCGTCACCGAGCCTGCGCGCCCGCTGGGGGCGCTGGTGCGTCGAAGCCCGGCTCTCAGGGAGAGACGGGAACTACAACTCCCGGCGTCCACAGCGACACGGCGTGGCCCGCGCCGGGGTGTGGACCAGCCTGGAACCGGTGTTTTGAGGAACTGCTCAAAGACGTTCGCTGCCGTTTAGAGGGGCTTGCTTTCGCCATGGTTGCTTAAGATACGGATACTTTGATACTCAGCCCCGGCTGTGCATGGCAAACCCAGTTTCCTGGGCCGTTCATTTAACTTTCATGCTGCCGGACAGTTACAATTTGAGACTGAACTGTAAGACATTCTTTAGGTAAAAATCATTCACTAGCCGGCATTCTATTCTTTTTGCTAAAATATAGGTGTTCATTTGGGATTGTGCAGTTGAAAGGGGCTGAGTGTTACTTCTCAGTTTATTACAGTACCTCTCTTGCCCACGGGGCTGCCTGAACTATAGTGCTGTTTTTTTTTCCCTCCACATACACGGATACGATAAGGCTTAATTTACAAAATAAAATTAAGCCCAGTTGGAGATTGGTAGCAAAAGGAAGTAATGCAACAATTAACTTTTATGATGTTGTCAACATCACTACCCTTGCCCTTTGGGGCCATTCATGACTGAAATAAGAGTTTCTTGACCATAGTGCGGTGATGCCAAGACATTTGATCAGATAACCCGAGCAGCATATCTACTGTCCGGATATGCCGTACAAAGGGGTGTTTCGTGTCTAGGACAGGACACAGTGTGATACCTCAAGATTCCATCCTGCTACTCAGAGGCCATGCAATTCAAAATTTATCAACTGTATAGTGCTCAGATTTTGCTTTATATTTTCAGGTTGCAGTTGCTACAGAAAATTCAAACCATGCAAAATAAAACAATGGATGCCTGCTGCATTCGTTTTCACTTTAAGGAAAGTGAAAAATGAACTTTTTATGATGACTGTAGGAAATGTAGAGCATATACCCCACAATAAACACATTTTAAGGGCAGTGTGCAAGGTTCTGAGCCAGGTCTTGAGGACATCTAGGGTAATGAAATAAGCCTGGCAGAGCATACAGTCACAGAGGAGCTCAGAAGGTAGGGCTGGGACTGTCTCTTCAGAGAACCACTTTTTCTTTTTGCCTTGGGGTGTGTTTTCAACCTCTGGAAGGAAAGAAAGTTCAATGCCTGGAATATGACACATTGAAACACATTGAACTTGCAAGACATTGTTTCTTTTCATCACTTAGAAATAGTGAAAAAAAAAATTGAGACAGGGCCTCCTCATGTAGTCCACACTGGTCTCAGACTTGTGGTGTTCCTCCTACTTCAGCCTCTGAGTTTGGGGTCACAAGCATGCATCACCACGCCCAGCGGGGAACAGTGAAAATTTATCTATCACAAATAGTGGATAATCTCACATTCTGTTGGCAAAAAGCTGTGAGTACTATCTCAAAACATCCAGCGCCCAGTGGTGTGCTACCAGTTTGGCTCAAACCACTCCTTCCTCTTGGCTGGACTACAGGGAGGATATCCGAAATGACCTCCCCATCTTTAGCCTCTATTTCTATTCTCCAAACCCAAGGGCAAGAGATTCTCTTAAAGCCATCAGATACTATCAGTCCTGGCCTTGACATACCTCCAAGTCCTTTATGACCTAGCCTCCAGTCCTTTCTTTGATCGCAACTCCAGTATTCCTCTCCACCCAGCAGGGACATGCTGGCCTCCTTGACAGTTCTCAGATTACTATTTCACCTCGAGGCCTTTGCAATTTGGGATTCTTCCTGCTTGGGAGGAAGCTCTTTTCCAGATAGCCACAGGACTAACTTCTCACTTCCTTCAGGACTTAATGCAAATGTCACTCTATTAAAAACCTCTCAATTTAGAAGTAGAGTGGCCATTCTGTTTAAAATTTCTTTCTTTCTTTCTTTCTTTCTTTTTTTCTTTCTTTCTTTCTTTTTTTCTTTTTCTTTTCTTTTTTTTTTTTTTTTTTGGTACTGGGACTCAAACTCACTACCTCAGGTTTGACAGACAAATGCTGTGCCACTGAGCTACATCCCCTGATCCTAAAATTTCATTCTTTTCTCACATTTCATATGTCCTTTCTGTGCTTTATTATTCTGTTAGCACTTACTTCACATTTATCTAGTTTATTATATTGATTAAAAAATTTTTTTTTGTATTTTGCGCTGGGTCTCACTCTGCAGTTTAAACCCATAGTGATCCTCCTGTTTTCAGCCTCCCCAGTGCTGGGATTACAGGCATGTATCACTATAGCAGGTCTTGCTGGCTGACTCAGTGCACCCAGGGGGTGGGGCTAGCACAGCTTGTGGTGCCAGGGATGGAACTTGGGTCCCTGCACTTGCCTAAGCAGTCACTTAATCCACTGAACTATCTCATAGGCCCCCTGCTTTGATTTTTTAAAATTTATTTATTTTTATTTATTTATTTTGTGTGTGTGTGGCCAGCTCAGCCCACCAGGGGGCGGGGCTGGCTGACATGTGCTGGGGGATTGAACTGCGGTCCCTGTGCTTTGCTTAGCTTAGCTTGTTCTAAGTAGGTGCTTTAGACCACTGAGCCATCTCACCAGCCCCCGATTTGATTTTTAATGTTTATTTATTTGTTTTCTGATGTGCTAGAGATCAAACCCAAGCCTTTACACTGAGTTACATCCCTGGCCTAATATATTTTTACAAATTTATTTTGAGAGAGGGTCTCACTGTAAGGAAAGGTAGGAGGCAGAGACCACTGGGCTGTGTAAAAGCAACATGGTATGGAATTATTGTGCCAGGGTGCAGGCAAACAGAGGGTGAAAAGGCTGTCTGTAGGGAACAAAGAGAAGTGGGTTTTTTTAAATAGGACTTGAAAGAAGGCAGGCGACATAAAAGCAGGAAGATCTTAGGAAACATCAGTGGTCCAAGTTTTCTGGATCTTCTGTGCACCAGGGGGCAAAGTCCTTGGGGTGCCCAGAGTGAATGTTTAGGAGTTTTCAGATGTCCAGGTAAATTGTCTGTGCAGGAGTCTGAGCTTCATCCTGTCTCTTCTAAGACATCCTGTGTTTGTCAAGGGAATCCCAGCACGGAACTGAAAACAGTTCCTCTGCTGGCAGGCAAGTTTGGCACTGGGAGATTCATGTGCAATTCGAACCATATGTTTATTGAATCATTTCAATTGCCCAGGCCTTTTGGAACTTGTGATCCCTCTGCCTCAGCCTCCTTGAGAGCTGGGATTATGGGCCTGTGACACCACACCTGCACCTTGCTGATTTGTCTTGGTTGTTGAAATTTACCACAAATATTTCTGGTTTTAGGGGGGTGGAATTAGGGCCTTGTGCCTCAGTGCAGTGATTGTCCTTCTTCGTTGCTGGATTTGCAGCATCAAGAATAGTACCAGGCATACAGTAGGCACTCAATAAATATTTGTGAGTTAAATGAATATGTGGACAATAGATAGTATAGATTGTCAGTGACTCCAGAAAAATAGAGGATGCCAAATGGACCTTTAGATGAAGGACAAATCTGCTTTGGGACAGCGAACTTGCTATAGTAATGAGCAGTGCACCCTTTGCATTTACGTGAGCCGTTATTCTTGGAACATGTAGCCTAACGCAAAAGGCTGTAAATGAGCCATACTGTTACTTCTTTTATATCTAAAATTCTTTTTTTTAATATCTAAAATTCTGAAACTTATTTTCTCAGCTTCCTATAAATGCATCTACTACTCTCAAATTCGTAGTTGAAACTGGGCATGGGGGAACATGTCTGTAATCCCACACCTCAGAAGGCAGAAGCAACAGAACTGCCATGAGTTTGAGGCCAGCCTGGGCTACATATCAAGACTCTGTCTCAGGAAAAAAAAAAAAAAAGCATAAAGTCACTGAGGTACTGAAGTTTAACTAATTTTCAATAAACAAAGTCCCCTAAAAGTTGTCAAGTCACATGGCCAGTGCCTGTGTAGAGTTTATTCTCCATGCTGTTGTGAAAGCAAGCCTAATCATACCTTTTTTCTTCATTGCTGGGATTGAATCCATGACCTTGGCCATGGTAGGTAAAACTTCTCCTTGAGCTACATCCCAAGTCCTATTTTATTATATTTTGAAAGAACAAAGATGTGTATTACTTTCTTTATTCCGTGAGTATTTATTCATTTTAGGTTTTTGTGTTATAGGGTCTCACTATGACTTTCAGGATGGCCTTGAACTCACTATGTAACCCAAGCTGGCCTCACATTCATGACAGTCCTCCTCCCTTAGCCTCCAGAGGGCTGAGGTTACATATATGTACAGCCATACCTAGATTTTTTGTTTTTATTTTATTTTATTTTTGGAGGAACTGGGGATTGAACTCTGACCCTTGCGTTTGCCAGGGACGCGCTTATTCCACTGAGCCATCTCCCCGGCCCCAGATTTTTTATTTTTAAAGTACATTCAAAGACAAGATACCTATCTTTAAGGAACTTAATGACTAATAAAGAAAATATATGTTTATATTAGTAGACATAACATACGTCTATATATGTACACATGTATGTCTATATATATATATGAGTATGTATGTATGTCAGGAGTTGAAATACATTAAAAATGTATTCCCTCTTCAATATTTCACTAAACTTATGAATTCCAAAATAAACATGTCTGATATCTCTGTAGTTAGCATATCTAGAAGATCACCATAGGGGCTGGGGATATAGTTCAGCGGCATAAGCACCTGCCTGGCAAGTACAAGGTCCTGAGTTCAATCCCCGGTACCACAAAAAAACAAACAAATAGAAGATCATCATATTCTTTATATTATAATTATTTTTGTGTTCACTCTACCAATATTTTCATCAATCAGATTTTATTGGTACACTTTATTTTACACTTTATTTATTTTTTATATATTTAGTACAGGGTCTACAGGGTCT